CAAAAAAGTCACAATATAATTACATCAACGAAAGTAAAATCAAATAATTAATCAATTATACAAGAGATAATAATTTAACGTAGTTTGACCCAATCGACCGACATCTACAATATGAGAAATAAAATCTACTAGTTGTAGAGAATTACAAACATACAATCAAATCAAACATTCAAAATCAATACTCATAGACCCTCTCAATCTCTTTTCCTATAGAGTATTATCAACCCAAACAAACACATACCTATATGCATATTCTCAACACAAACAAATACATACCCATATGTACTCATATATCATGCTTATGTGAACCATCTCAATCTTCTCTAGTCCACTCACAAACATTCAAACATACACACCCATAAAATATAAATCCCTAGTACTTCTATGGGGTGTATCCCATAAAACCTTATAATTTTCTTATATCTTTTTCTCATACCTAATCTTAAAAAAAATTCACATATTTATAAGCATACAAACTTACCTATTAAGAATTATTTTCCTCTTAGAATTTTTCTCTTGTAAGTCTTCTTATCCATCAAGTAATATCTAACCAATTTTAAATAAATCTATCACTATTCCTAACAATCTCCACATTAACTTAAATTTCATCAAATTATCAATTTTCATGCTAGACATACTAGGCTCTACTTGCAATGGAAGTCTCATAATAATTTTCTCTTGTGTGCCTTCAAGCTTCACACAAATCGATCCTTAAAACATGAACTCGAACTTTTCCTTTGAATCGAGCTCCTTTAGACTTACTTTTTTTCATATCTTGAACCTTTAACTCTAATACCACTGTTAGGCAATAAGCCTCTAATCTATCAAGTCGGTGGAAGCAAATCAAACTCTTCTCTTGAATTGAGTTCCTCTAAGCTTGTCTTTTTTATTTTGACCATACAGCTCTGATACCATTTATTAGACAAAAAAATCATGATCCAATCATACTAACGGAAGCCAAATCAAATGATCAATTAATTACATAAGAGATAACAATTTAATAAGGTTCGACCCAAAATACCTACATCCATGAATAAGAAATAAAATGCACTAGTTATAGAGAATTATAAATATACAATCAAATCAAATACTCATAATCAATACTTATAAAATCTTTCAGTCTCTTCTAATCTTATGAAATATTCTTAATCCAAATAAACACATACTTATATACATCCTTTTAATATAAACAAACACATACCTATATGCACTCATGTATCATATCTATGTGAACCCTCTTAATCTCTTTTAGTCAATTCACAAACATTCAAACTTACACATCCATAAGATGTAAATCTCCAATACTCATATAAGATGTTTATCTCATAAAATCTTACAACTCTCTTACTTTTTTTTTCTAATACCTAACCTTATAAAAATTTCAGCTATTTATAAACATATAAACTTGCCTATCAAAAATTTTATTTTTCTTGAAATTCTTCTCTTACAAATTTTCTTATCTATCAATCAATATCTAAATAATTTTAAATAAATATATTATGGAAGTTGAGTCAGTATTTCCAACACTCTTAATTATGAATTTAGACATTGCTTTTGATTTTCTTTGGATATATACTGTAAAGCTAAACCTTGTCCATTAAGTGCAATTCATGATGAAAAAAGGGACCTTGATGACAATGAAAGCAATTTATGAGCCCTAGCATGAAATTCAAATGTAAGACGAATATAATCGTATGGTTGGTAGCAAGGTAGATATAACTATGAATTTAGACATTGCTTTTGATTTTCTTTGGATATATACTGGAAAAGCTAAACCTTGTCCATTAAGTGCAATTCATGATGAAAAAAAGGACCCTAATGATAATGAAAGCAATTTCTGAGCCCTAGCATGAGATTCGAATGTAAGATGGATATATTCGTATGCTTGGTAGCAAAGCAGATAAAAAATTTATATTTGCATTCAAAGTAAATGAAGTTAAAGTAAATGTTTGGAATATTGACTCAAATATATAACAGATTTATTTGAGATTAATTAAATATTATTTGATGGACAAAAAAACTTATAAGCGAATAATTTTAAGAGAAAAAATATTTTTGATAAGCAAATTTATATGTTTATAAATAGGGGAAGTTTTTATAAGGTTAGATATTAAAAAAAAAGAAGATAATTTTAGAGTTTTATAGGATAGATATCTCATAAAACTATTGGAGATTTACGTCTTATGTGGATATACGTTTAAATATTTGTGAGTGAATTAAAATAGATTACGATGATCCAAATAGATATGATATATGGATGTATATTGGGATGTGTTTGTTTGGTTTAAGAATATTCTATAATACTAGAGGAGATTAAAAAGACCCATGAGTATTAATTGTTGGGTGAGGTTGATTTAATATATGTTTATAAGTTTTTATAACTAATAAATTTTTTTCTCACATAAGTTTGTTGAGTCAAATGACGTTAAATTATTACTTTTTATGTAATTAATTAATTATTTAATTTTATTTTCGTTAATACGATTTAAATAGAAGCTTTTAACTTAACAAAAAGAACCTACGATGAAAGCTCGAATAAATCTACACTTTTCAATCTTCTATTGATCAGTTGTATTGGATTGAGTAGCATCAAACGTCGATTTGATGTAGGTGCAGAAATATGCTATGCGTTTCACACTGTTTTCTGTTCCTGATTGGGTCGGATCAGTACGAATAATTAAACTAACATTGAAGGGAAATCAAAACAAAATCTTGACAAAACCTTTTTATGCATGTGAATATTAATACTTGGTTCAATGGTACATGATTGACAAAAGTCCTCAATTTGGTCTAGTGGCCTCGGCTTGGAACATTATCACTGACAAATCCAACATAAACGTATCTCTCTTAATAATTGCGATGAATTGGAACTGGGAAAATTATCAGGTAAAGAAAACAAAACCCGAAAATTGCATGGCTAGTCATTTTCTGTGATTGATCATGATCATCCAGGATAAGCAAAGGGAAACTCCATTGCTAACTTTCCCTTTTTTTTTAATAAACAATTGGCACAATTGGTGAAAAGAGTTTAATTTGAAAGGCTAGCCGTGTATTTGAGGTTGGTAGGGATCGATTTCTATCCTCAGGACTGAAAAAAAAAATTAAAGATAGAAAAGGGACAATACAAAGGGAAAATAAAAAACTTAGGGAATTATTGCTTATTGCATTCATAGTCACTTTTATGATGAGTATCCACACAATGAAGGGTTTAATTTCATTTTTTTATTTTCTAATGTTTTTCTTTAGAGATGATTATTAACCACAACTCTCTATGAAATAGAGTATATACAACTAATCTCTTCGTACAGAAATTAAAAGAAAAAAAATTCCTTGCCAACCCTTCTAGACCTGTGACATATCTTTCGAATGTTTCCCATCTATCATGTGGAATTCCACCAACCAACCTGATTTTTCATGTTGGAATCCAAACACGAAAGCACCAACTTTGCACTGTCTCCCCCATGTGTTTTTTTACTCACCTTTAAAAACTATTATTGTATATAATGTTCTAATATTGTATATACTACCCTATTGATAAAACGACAGATTTTATCAATTTTCATATATAACCTTGCCACTTCATTGATTTATTTGTAACAATATTTGATATTTCTCTTTCAATCCCACTCACATTTGAACAATGGTTTTTGTCCATAAGATACTTAGTGATATGAGGATTAGATCTCACATGGATTCAAAATACCTATGCACGTTTTTTTTGGAAGGAGACTGCTGTTCGGTAACAAGAAAAAAGACTGCAAGTGATGAAATTTGAATTCAACCATGTTTGATGTCAATTTTTAACTAATTATTATTGGTAAATTATCTTGTTCTATTTTGTATCCAATTCTTTTGGTTTTCCCATTTGGCTGAAATAACCAGAAGGAACTTTGAGTAAAGGAGAATTTCGTCTTTTTAATCATTGGAATTTACGGACAAGACATAATAAGATTTTAGGCAATTTGTGAAAGATGCAACAAGTGTTTGCAGCAAATTTCTGCTACATAAAACGCAATGAATTTATTGGCAGTGAAATGAAGAGGTAGGCAGCAGGAGAAACGTATCAGAATAAATAAATGTTTTTCAATATCATTGAGAAGATAAAGAAATCTGCGTGGTTTCCACTTCACAGATAGAAATAAAGTAGATGCCTAGTCTAAGTGATTAATAATCAGCAAGCAATTAAAACCAATTAGCATCTTAAACTCTATTATTCTAATGTTAGAAAGAATTTCAGGTTTCAAGCTTCAACATTCAAGTTTCAGAAATGCTCAAATAAAGTTTCTTCCAAAGCAGACTAAAGCATATGTAAAGCCTGTATGATCAGAAAAATTTTTCTTTGTCAACGTCATTTGCACCGATTAGATTGCTTTTACTTTGAGTTGTGAGTGAAGGTCATAGTCGTGAAGTTTTTAGATAAAATTAGAGAGTTGAGTGTGTGTTGTGAAATTCAAAAACTATAAATTTCGAAAGTCAAAATAGGGAGAGCAAATCACAGTGAAATCAGCGAATAAATCAGAGAGAACTTTTAAGCAAACAATGATTTTAGAAATAGTGGCCACGATTCATGGCACCCAAAACTCTAACACCAAAGCCACTTAACTTTTGAATATATCATCCGCACTTAACCTAAACAACCAAATCTCCACTTCCCACAAAAACAATTAAAAGAAATGGAAGAGAATAAAGGCAAAGCATCATATTCACAGAGAGCCACAGAAACACACTTCTGTTTTCTTTTCTTTTATTTTTTGTTTTCCTCTGATTATATCAGCAAAGTGAGGATTCTATAGTTGCTTTGGAATAGGGTTGATTTTATTGCATAATGGATAAGGGGATCTAAATTGGAGTGAGATTAAGTGCCTTGGACTTATAGACCTCTTCCATTTATTGGAAAAATAATGCACTTGCTTTATTTTGTTTAATCGATAAAAAAGGGTTCTTGAATTCTGTCCAATATTTTTTTTCCACGATTCGAACTCAAACAATAAAAAAAAAAAAAAAACTGTTTTTGCTATTGAGCCAACCATCCCTTAGATTGCTTTATTTTCTGTCGTAGCATTTTCTTGTCTATAAGAAGGACATTTCTCATTCCGAAGTTCGCAGGCTAAGACAAGCACTCGAGAGAAAAGAGAGGGAAATAGAGAGAAACATGGGAGACCAAACGCCATGTGCAGCTTTGTCTATTGCGTTGAACAAAGTGAAACCATACCTGGCAATGGTGTCCCTGCAGTTTGGATATGCAGGGATGTACATAATCTCCTTAGTTTCTATGAAGCATGGCATGAGTAATTTTATCCTTTCTACGTACCGCCATGTTGTCGCCACCCTTGTCATTGCACCCTTTGCCTTTGTTCTTGAAAGGTTTATTCTTCTTCTTCTCTCCCTCTCTTACAAACACATTCATACATAATTATATATGCTTATTCAACCGCGTAATTCTTGAACCCCTAACCTTTTTTCATTCCATTCTTTTATGCAGGAAAATAAGGCCGAAGATGACCCTCCCCATCTTCCTCAGGATTGTGGCTCTTGGTTTCTTGGAGTAATGCTCTAAACTCCCTTCTTTTTTCATCTTTAAGCAAATAAATGTATCTCCATGTTGTATCCAATGTGCTTCTACATATACATAGATATAAGTGCGCCGTTGCTTGATGGCAACAACGGTAGCCTCTAGTCGATTCGGGAAAGTTTGGCTTGCGTTCTTTCTTGTAACATGATCTACAACTTGTGCCTGCAAGAATTGGATTCTCTGTTTCTTTTTTCACGTCAGCCAATCCATTCTCTTCTTTCTCACCAGTCGCCATGGTTGCAAGGCTGTAGCTAAGAGTTCTGTTCTTGCACCTGATGAAACTTACTGAATCTTCAATCCAAAAAGTTTATATTTCCATCCGTAGATGAAAGATGATGTTAGCAATTTAAATGACAAATTTGAGTTTTCTTCTTTTAGCATATCCCTGAGTCCATGCATGTTTCTTGTTCTTGATATATTTATAAATACAATCAAGAAATGAAATGTCAACTGCTAAACAAGAATGTAAAGCGTCCAATTAACGTTGTTGATTGGATGTGCAGGCCAGTGCTTGATCAGAACTTGTACAATCTGGGAATGAAGTACACAACTGCAACATATGCATCTGCTTTCGTCAACATGCTTCCTGCTGTTACCTTCATATTGGCAATGATTTTCAGGTGAAAAAATTCAAACCAGTTCATCATTTATTGATATTGTCGTGCAAAATCACACAACAGTGAAAAAGATGTGTCAATAAGATCCTACTATTTTTGTGGAAGGCTTAAGCCTCTGGGACCCCTAATTGAAAATATGCCACATCACACCACATCAAATAGCTCAAAAAATTCAATCATATTCATTCTTTTTTTTCATTTAAATTTTTAATGATTAAAAAACAACTTGCTTCAAGAAAAAATATATACCCACAATAAAGTGGTCCTCTGATTACAGATAATCGAATCTTGGGATCTTTTTATTTTTTTCAACATTACTGGAATTTTGGGAATTTATCATTGTTTAATAAGATATTTATGCCAATCAGGTTAGAGAAGGTCAATGTGAAGAAAATCCGCAGTGTAGCAAAGATCATTGGAACTGCAATCACGGTCGTGGGAGCAATGGTCATGACTTTGTACAAAGGTCCTATTATTGACTTCATCAAGTCAGGAGGAGCTACTCACCATGGAACTACTGCTGAATCTGCGGATAAACACTGGGTTACTGGCACCATAATGCTTCTCGGAAGTATCTTTGGCTGGTCAAGTTTCTTTATTTTGCAAGTGAGTCGAAATATTTTTTTTTCTGTTGAATGAAAAAAAACTAAACTACTTAATTATTTATGAGCTAATATTGGTTATGGTTTCTGGTTCAGTCCTTTACATTGAAGAAGTACCCGGCAGAGCTCTCTCTTACAGCTTTGATATGTTTAATGGGAATGTTGGAAGGTGCAGGAGTGTCCCTTGTCATGGTCCGTGACCTAAGTGCCTGGAAAGTAGGCTGGGACTCAAGGCTTCTTGCTGCAACTTACTCTGTAAGTTCCCCAATAAAACCAAATACAATGAATACAGAAACCCAAAAAAAAAAAAAAGTTACCAACTTTTTATTTGTGATTGATTAGGGAGTAGTGTGCTCCGGAATCGCATATTATGTTCAAGGAGTAGTGATCAGGGAACGAGGACCGGTCTTCGTAACATCTTTCAGCCCCCTATGCATGATCATCACTGCTTTACTAGGGGCCATTGTTTTAGCTGAAAAAATCCACCTTGGAAGGTATGTGGCAGCATCTCAAATTTTCCTGCAACAATTTGCGCTTTGATCTTCAATAAATATTTTGACATCAAAAGCATATTCTATTAATCATGGAATGATAACAAATTTTACTAAGACATGAATATATGGTGCACTATCAAGTATTGGAGACAATTACGTTTGCAGATAATGACAGAATGCATTGTCAAGTAGTTTTCTTTGCTTTATTAACCATTAAACGATTTGTAGTCTTATTCATTAGTGGATTCTGCAATGGTTTTCCTTATTCTGATTGCTCAGTTGCTTCTCTTTTCTTTTCTTTGGTTGATCTCAGCATACTTGGAGCCATTATCATAGTCACAGGCCTTTACACTGTGGTGTGGGGTAAAAGCAAAGATGGGAAAAACTCAGAGACTGATGAGAAAAGCAATGCCCTGCAGGAATTGCCAATCACAAACAATGCTAGACCAATGAATGTTGATGATGGCATGGATGGACCTGCCAAAATTGTTAATATTCCAGCTTCAAAGAGCTCCTTCAGCACTCGAGGAACATAAAGCATTTCCTTTAAAATTTTCATAAACTTCTAGCAGAGTTGTTCTTCCCAAAGCAATAAAAAGATACCATGTAACCACTAACCAATGCCTCCCCCTCTCTCGAAGTTGCTCTGCATCTAAGTTATTTGTAGCTTATCATGTTTTGATTGTACTCTGAGGCTTTAATTTGGTGAAGTAAAAACGATGAATCGTTGCGGTCGGCCTATATTCTTGTCCAAATATTTCATTTCAATACCTTTTTCTTTGGCTTAAATTCATCAAATGCTTTAACAAGAAGACATCTACTGCAAAAATCATATTAGGAATCAAAACAGCTAACCTTGATCCAGGAACTGTACTAGTATCTCAAATATTCCAGGGTCGTCATTTTTTTTTTTTTTGTGTGGCCAGTATCATTTGTTTAAGTTCATTGGAATATTTTATTTCACATATCCTGATAGCTACATATCTATAGCCTGATTGAAATGGCTTAGGGAAGAATCACATTCTTCTTGTAACTTGGCCATGTGAAGAATATAAATGGCTAAAAAAATTACTCAACCACATTCTTTGGTTTTTCTTTGTTTAAACATGGAACAATTCATTATTCGCAATGAAGCATGAGCCACAAAGAAGAAAGAATTCTTATGTACTAAATTGAATCCATACTGCATAGATATTGTGACATATTCTCAGTCGTTGATCTTCACACATGATTGTCATATCGTATATAAGTTCATGAACTATTTATTACAAGACACAATTTTGGAAGTTCTACTGAAATTTTTTTATTCGGATATGATTGGTCAATTAGGTGAATTTATTCTTTCAATGAAAATCTAAGCTTGACTATGACTCCTTAAAAAAATAGGTATAGCTATGCATTACAAAATTAAATACAGTATAAGAAAATTATAACATCCTCACACACCCATTCAAAGAAATGTATCAATTTATCTTAAATTATTTTAAAAATTTTAGTATAAATGGTTTTGTATTTTGTTAAGTTTTGGTATTTAAATATTGAATATAACTTTTAAGTTGTCTCTAATATGATAAGTGTGATTAATCAATTAAGTGAATTCATTCCTTCAATGGAAATCTAAGCTTGACTATGACTTTCTAAAAAAATAGGTTTCACTCTACATTTCAGAATTAAGTACAGTATAGGAAAAGTTATAAAATCCTTACACGCCCATTTAAAGGAAATTACCAATTTATCTTAAATTATTCAAAAAATTTTAGTATAAATGGTCTTTTATTTTGTTAAGTTTTGGTATTTAAATATTGAAAATAATTTTAAGTTGTTTTTAATATGATAGAATTCGTAAAAATATTTTCTTATCTAAAAAATATTCAAAAATATTATTTGCTTTCTTAAAAGGACTCTATCGTGATAAAAAATTTTAAATCAATTATTTTATTAAGTATTAATTTATTGAAAATATATCTAAATTTTCTATCATTTTGATCAAATTTAAAAATATTTTCTCACCTAAAAATTTATTAAAATTTAACATTTTTAATTTTTAGACTAAAAATAAATGCTAGTTATTTTTATTTAAATTTTATCTAAACTCTTTCAACCTTTAGGTTGAATTTATAAAATTCCTAGGAAATTAACCATTTGTGATTTTCCTAAAGTTTCATCATTAAATAATTGACATATAGTTTTAAAAAAATATATGAGTTATATTCTTTGATTTGATTTGAAAATGAATGTAATTATTTTTGTTTAAATTTTATCTAAATTATTCTATCATTTGGACTAAATTTAAAGAAATTTCTCACTTAAAAATTTATTAGAGAATTGATCATTTGTGATTTGTAAGAATATTAACATTGGATAATTACTATTCGTTCCCACAATTTTATAAAATTTGTTATTTTCATTTTTATTTTGAAAATATATATCAATTATATCGTTAAATTTTATTTAAAATTTTCCTCAATTTGAATCAAATTTGAAAAAAAAAAAAAACTCTCACCTAAAAATCTTTTAGAAAATTATCCATTTGTAATTTTTAAAAATTTCATGTTTAAATAATTACCATTTATTTTTCAAGATTTTGTTAAAGTTTTATTTTACCTTCAATTTATTTCTATTTATTTTTATTAATCAAATTAATAATTTTACCTAATCCTAAAAATTTCTACCTAAGTAAAATTTGATAAAAATAATATAAAATAAATCAATTAAAACATAATAAAATAAAAATAAACAAAAAGAGGCATAACCTGCTATATAGGTTGAAATGATTCTTAAGAAATTGAGAATTGTCATTGGAATTTAAAGGTATCATTGGAATTCTCATTAAGACATTCAAAGTTCATTGAAAAATGTTCTCACAATCCAGAAAAATTTTGTTAGAGTTTGAGAATCATCAATAAAAAATTATTGAAAACTGAAAAAATAAGCCTAACACTTAAATTTGAATTGCCTAAAACTTTTTTACTCTCAAATTCTTCTCGAATGATTGTGTGTTGGTTGTGTAAACTTGCAAGATATTTATAGAAACCTAATTCCAACTTGATAAAGGCTCTAATTTAATAAAAAAATTATTTTAAAAATTATTTTAAAAATAATTTTAGAATTTCATTTAGATCCTTACCATTAGTTCTTTTTCAAAATCAAACTCTTTAGATTTTATCAACCCTTTATGTATTTAACAAAAAAAATTGATCTAATTACTAAATCCTTAATTGAATAAATTCTTATTCTTCAAGAATTTAACCTCACTCACATCCCTTTTTCAACCCTTTTCATTTAAGAAAAAATAAAACAAAGTAAAATAATTAACAAATAAATCACTAAATAAAAATTAATAATGAAGATAAATAACTTATAAAGATAAATAAAAATAAATAATAAAAAACTTAAAATAAATTTTTTGAGTTTTTAACTAGACCCAAATTGAATCCAAATAATATAAAAAACCAAGTAATTTTGAAAATTTAAATCCAGAAAACTTTATCATCATAGGTAATGTAACTTTTTTCTCTTCAATATCTAATTTTGAGAGACAGACGATTTAAAGATAGTTATCCAAATATTTCTTCCCAAATTTGTTGGAAGTTGAAATACTTTGTTAGATATATTTTGATATTAAAATAGTTTTGTTTTGGCCCACGTGCTCATGATCGCGTGGGCATGCCGGAGTCGTTATCGAACATGACTAGAAATCATGTGGGCTCAGTCGGGGCAGGGTCCAATCCCGCTGCTCACAACCCCCTTTGGTTTCTTTTTGTCTTTAATTATTACACTGATAGTGAGAAGGTGGCCCAACTAGTTGCTATAAATGAGCCTGAGTGGTTTCATAGTAAATTTGTTGTAACCCAATAGGTTGCCTAAGCTCAAATGAGTGGGATTCTAAAATCAGATTTTTAGCCATTTTTCACTCCAAGTCCAACAAAAAGAAAGTGCAGAGGATTTTTAACTCAATTTCCTGGAATCCTTGATTAAAAATTACAATATCAAAAACAAGATTCAATACTTTTATACATCTGAATCCTATCCTATATTTTATTATTTAAATATTGAAAACTCATTTATTGCATTGGGAAGTTAAAAAATATTAATTTAAATATATAAATTACTAATTTTTGTACTAAAATTCCATATTTAGTAATATTTGCCATGAAAATGATGTTCCAATCATAATATTTAACTTTCAGACCAACTTAACCAATTTCATGTGAGAAACAACTTTATAGAGAATTTTGTCCAAAAATTAAAGCAAAAAATTTGTCTAAAACATCATTGATAGAGTTTTTAAACTTTAGTATCAAAATTAGAGGATATCAAATAATTTATTAGAATATTTTTAAAAAATAATACACGTGATGGATGCTTAACAAACTGTTGGACATTAACAAGTTTGTGATCATTATTTCTTTCTTCCTTTTATTTCTTAAATAGTCTGCAGTATTTAGAAGCGAGGGAGAAGCAGTATGACAAGAAAGCTTATCTTGATTTCTTCACTGTGAATTTTGAATGGTGATACATTTGTTAGTATAATGTAGCTTTTTTATTCATGTATTTCTACTGAAATTTGTTTTAGGATCAAGAGCTACAACTCCAGCCGTTTCTGGGGTAATGGTTTAACCGTGTAAGTGCTGTTTTATCAATGATATTTTTTTTTTTCTTGCGTTATTATTGAAGATAACCAGATCTACATTGACACCAAAATTTTCAGGTACATAGGATCTGCGGACTAGAAGATTAATTAGAACCATTTGGGGCCTGCTTCTCTTGAAGAGATTGCCAAGTATGTTACTTCTATCACTGTTCTGGTTTGACATAATGCTGTTTAGTCCTTATTTGGTGTTTGCTGATGCTGTCGAGTCCTTATTTGGTGGTTGCTGATGTGCTAATCTCAATACTTCTACTGTTGGACATCTCCGCCCCCTTCCCCTTCCAATAGAAAGGACTTAGCTAAACTCTGAAAGCTGTTTTAGAGCATGTGATCATATATTAAAAGCTAAGACACAATACCCTATAGGCTCATTGTTAACTAGAAATGGCGTTTTTCTATATTATCAAGTTCTATCATTGCTGAAATTTGTGGCTAAATCTTTTTTTAAAGAGAAAATTCCTCCCCCTAAAACCAGTTTTTTGCTGTGGTTTATCATTGATAATTTGTTCGATCATCTTTGTTGCTCCTCGTCTGATCTTAGTCTGAATCTCTAGATATATTGGTGTCAATTCTAGCGTTACAAGCAGTTCTGATTCACTGTTTCCTCCTTTTTTTACCGTCATGTTTGGGCAAATTATTCATGCTGAAGGCCCCTCAGGACCAAACAGAGAATACCTTTTCCAACTAGAAAAGGCTCTTCTTGAAAATGGTGAGGTTCTTTTCAATAGCCCCTAAATTTGTTCTGTACTAGTTATTCCAATTATTTGTTTCACTTCTTTGCCTAAAAGGATTTCCAACCAACACCACACTAATAATTTTTTTCTGGGTTTAGGATGTAAAGATAAACATGTAATGGATCTTGCAAATGAAGTGAGGTGAATTCTATCAGAAGGGGAGCTAATTGCATCATGATGCAAAAATGGGAAAAGGGAAAAGAAATTAAATTGAGAAACTCATGGCAGCATTATTTTTGGTACTTGAATTGAAGTTGTCGGGATCTAAACCCTCATCAGAACTAACAGTCCACGCGGTAGTTGGCCCTCAGGGCAGCATTATAGATGTGGCATCAGCACCATTTCATGGAATCACATGTTCTCCTAAATGTTTGCTTGGGATTGGG